AAGACAAAAGCCCCCCATAAAAAAGTAAGGTAGGACAAAAGCCCCCCCATGGTCAATCAAATTTACATATAGTGTATTAAAGTTGTGTTTTTTATGTGTTTAAAAGGAATGTCAGACATAATCCCCTTCGGACAAAATCCCCTTCACCTACCCGGACAAAATCCCCTTCATGGGTGGACATAATCCCCTTCATTTTTTGCAAGGCTGGACAAAATCCCCTTCACTACCCGGGAAAAATCCCCTTGTTTCATAGGTTTCTAATGTATTATTATGCTCCATAAAAATTGATGAATAATTTATATTATACTCCCTAAAAATTGATGAATAATGAACTTTTGCTTTTTTATTTATAATTATGTATCAATAGTTACCTTTATTTAGTTAAGAAGTTTTCATTAAAATTATGGTAAATTATCAACTGCATAACACGGAAGACGGACAAAACCCCAGTTAAAACCCCACCACTCAAAATTTTATAGAGTGGACAAAACCCCACCACTAAATTTTATAGAGTGTTTATAGTGTTTAAATAACAATAATTATCTTTAAAACTTCATTAAATGCCGTTTTATTGTTAAAAAAACATTTTTACAACATTAAAATTTTTGGCTGCTAGGCCGCCAGGCCGCTAGGCCGCCAACTTCACAAAAATGACAAAATTAAAAAAATCTCTGAAAGTGATTTTTTCTTTAGATATATCGTTTAAATAACAATAATTATCTTTAAAACTTCATTAAATGCCGTTTTATTGTTAAAAAAACATTTTTACAACATTAAAATTTTTGGCTGCTAGGCCGCCAGGCCGCTAGGCCGCCAACTTCACAAAAATGACAAACTTAAAAAAATCTCTGAAAGTGATTTTTTTCTTTAGATATATCGTTTAAATAACAATAATTATCTTTAAAACTTCATTAAATGCCGTTTTATTGTTAAAAAAACATTTTTACAACATTAAAATTTTTGGCTGCTAGGCCGCCAGGCCGCTAGGCCGCCAACTTCACAAAAATGACAAAATTAAAAAAATCTCTGAAAGTGATTTTTTCTTTAGATATATCGTTTAAATAACAATAATTATCTTTAAAACTTCATTAAATGCCGTTTTATTGTTAAAAAAACATTTTTACAACATTAAAATTTTTGGCTGCTAGGCCGCCAGGCCGCTAGGCCGCCAACTTCACAAAAATGACAAAATTAAAAAAATCTCTGAAAGTGATTTTTTCTTTAGATATATCGTTTAAATAACAATAATTATCTTTAAAACTTCATTAAATGCCGTTTTATTGTTAAAAAAACATTTTTACAACATTAAAATTTTTGGCTGCTAGGCCGCCAGGCCGCTAGGCCGCCAACTTCACAAAAATGACAAACTTAAAAAAATCTCTGAAAGTGATTTTTTTCTTTAGATATATCGTTTAAATAACAATAATTATCTTTAAAACTTCATTAAATGCCGTTTTATTGTTAAAAAAACATTTTTACAACATTAAAATTTTTGGCTGCTAGGCCGCCAGGCCGCTAGGCCGCCAACTTCACAAAAATGACAAAATTAAAAAAATCTCTGAAAGTGATTTTTTCTTTAGATATATCGTTTAAATAACAATAATTATCTTTAAAACTTCATTAAATGCCGTTTTATTGTTAAAAAAACATTTTTACAACATTAAAATTTTTGGCTGCTAGGCCGCCAGGCCGCTAGGCCGCCAACTTCACAAAAATGACAAAATTAAAAAAAATCTCTGAAAGTGATTTTTTCTTTAGATATATCGTTTAAATAACAATAATTATCTTTAAAACTTCATTAAATGCCGTTTTATTGTTAAAAAAACATTTTTACAACATTAAAATTTTTGGCTGCTAGGCCGCCAGGCCGCTAGGCCGCCAACTTCACAAAAATGACAAACTTAAAAAAATCTCTGAAAGTGATTTTTTCTTTAGATATGTCGTTTAAATAACAATAATTATCTTTAAAACTTCATTAAATGCCGTTTTATTGTTAAAAAAACATTTTTACAACATTAAAATTTTTGGCTGCTAGGCCGCCAGGCCGCTAGGCCGCCAACTTCACAAAAATGACAAACTTAAAAAAATCTCTGAAAGTGATTTTTTTCTTTAGATATATCGTTTAAATAACAATAATTATCTTTAAAACTTCATTAAATGCCGTTTTATTGTTAAAAAAACATTTTTACAACATTAAAATTTTTGGCTGCTAGGCCGCCAGGCCGCTAGGCCGCCAACTTCACAAAAATGACAAAATTAAAAAAATCTCTGAAAGTGATTTTTTCTTTAGATATATCGTTTAAATAACAATAATTATCTTTAAAACTTCATTAAATGCCGTTTTATTGTTAAAAAAACATTTTTACAACATTAAAATTTTTGGCTGCTAGGCCGCCAGGCCGCTAGGCCGCCAACTTCACAAAAATGACAAAATTAAAAAAATCTCTGAAAGTGATTTTTTCTTTAGATATATCGTTTAAATAACAATAATTATCTTTAAAACTTCATTAAATGCCGTTTTATTGTTAAAAAAAACATTTTTACAACATTAAAATTTTTGGCTGCTAGGCCGCCAGGCCGCTAGGCCGCTAGGCCGCCAACTTCACGCCGCTAGGCCGCCAGGCCGCTAGGCCGCCAACTTCACGCCGCCAGGCCGTTAGGCCGCCAGGCCGCCAACTTCACGCCGCCAGGCCGCCAGGCCGCCAGGCCGCCAACTTCACACATCTTTTTTTATATACTTATTTTTAAAAGATGTCAGAGAATTAGGATGGTATTCTATTCCAAATCTTTGCACCATTGTAACAAAAAGTCTTTTTACCATAGTTTGTGCGGTGTTTAGGTATAACTATGTCATTATGTGATGTTGATCTTAAATTGTTAATTCATTGCTGGAAAAAGTCAAAATTTCAGATATATATAAGATGGGGCTATGTTATTATAAGCTTTATTAATAAGAATTCCAGTATGAAAAATGCATCGTTCATTGATCCCTCAAGTTCTTTCGGCATATCTTGATTTTCTTATTCGTGATGTTTTGTTTAAAATGATCCTTACAGCTCTTATTTGTATTTTATTTTACCTATTTTATTTACAGAGCTTAAATTTCCTTTGCTTCAAACAGTACAGCATCAAAATTGGACATTATATATGCATTATAAAATAATTGTTTCATTTCATCTGTCAAATAATAAGATATACGCCTCAATAATGCTAATTTTGAGTTAAGTGCTTCAATTTGGTAATTCCACGACAAGTTATTATCAATATAAACATCTAAAAATTTTTGTATCATTACATTTTCTATTTTTTGTTTTTGCAACATATAAAGTTATATTAGTTCATTACAATAATAACTTTTTTGTTCCGTACATCGTTTTATTTGGATGGATTAACATAGTGTTTAAACTGCACCATAGATCTACCGTATTCAAATTTTGTTGAAGTTTACTTTCTACTACCAGATATATATATGGTATAGAATCGTAAGTGTTGAAAATTGAGTACCGCTCAAGCCGGTGCTAAGGGCGTGAGGAATGTTGCACTTTTTCATTAACTCTCATGTACAGACTCAATCGAACCGAGTCTGCAATTTTCATGTAATTTTGCTGATTTGCTGATTTTAATGCATTTTTTCAGATATTGATAGAAAATGCAATCGTGTTTATGTTGGTATAGGAAACTGATTTGCCATTTTCAAGTACACGTACTTGTACCTTTAAAAATTGATAGAGTACTAATGTATACATATTGGTAAAATGTCCAGTCTAATTAAAAATTGTAAAAAATTATGATCTACACAGTTAATAAAATTTATAAATCACATGCCTATTTTGCTTGCTATCGCGGTTGAATTTTCTTTCATGTATAAAAAGATCATACATTTCAGGTGCATAGGTGTAAAGGTTATTCTTGTTTATTATGGTAAAAAAACTTACAAATTACTTAGCCGCTACTTGATGGACGCCTAACTATACATTGTCTGCTTAAGAAAGGCGGTTGCTTAAAACATATGTAACAGAGAAAAAATGTAGGCTTTTATACATTTTTAACCAGGTTTTCCGAAGGAAAAAACTGGTTATTAGATTGAGGTATGTCGGCGGGCGGGCGGTCGGGCGGGCGGGCGGACGGGCGGGCGGGTGGGCGGGCGTAAACAATTTCTTCTGTGCGCAACTCCTCCTACATTTCTCAACGGATTTTGACCAAACTTTCACAGAAGCTTTGTCATCAAGTGCCCTGGCGCATATTGTCGGGGTTTTGCGATTAGATAATATTTGACCTAATTATGGCCCTTTGTTTTTTTTTCCTTATATAAAATATATAGTGAACAATTTATTCTGTGCGCAACTCCTCCTACATTTCTCAACGAATTTTGACCAAACTTTCTCAGAAGCTTTGTCATCAAGTGCCCTGACACATATTGCCAGGGTTTTGCAATTGGTATATATTTGACCTAATTATGGCCCTTTGTTTTTTTTCCTTATATAGAATATATAGTGAACAATTTCTTCTGTGCGCAACTCCTCCTACATTTCTCAACGGATTTTGACCAAACTTTCTTAGAAGCTTTGTTATCAAGTGCCTGGCACATATTGTCGGGGTTTTGTGATTGGATAATATTTGACCGAATTATGGCCCTTTGTATATTTTTTCCTTATACAGAATATATAGTGAACAATTTCTTCTGTGCTCAACTCCTCCTACATTTCTCAACGGATTTTGACCAAACTTTCTTAGAAGCTTTGTTTTCAAGTGCCTGGCACATATTGTCGGGGTTTTGTGATTGGATAATATTTGACCGAATTATGGCCCTTTGTATATTTTTTCCTTATACAGAATATATAGTGAACAATTTCTACAGTGCGCAACTTCTCCTACATTTCTCAATGGATTTTGACCAAACTTTCACAGAAGCTTTGTCATCAAGTGCCCTGGCGCTCACTAAATTCTCATGTTTCTTCCAAGACATCATTCAAGTATTTTTTTAAAATTGTGAACATACTTTTCTTGATATCGCACAAAACACCACACGCCAATATTGTTGACAAAAGAAAATGACAAGAGACGCAAAAATGCAAAAATTAAGCAAAAATAAAGTACTGTTTACCTTTCTAAAACATTTGGGAAAAAAAGGCGAATAGACAACATAAAATTTCTCAATCATTTTTGTTTGAGGAATATTAAAAAAAGCCATAATTCCTCCTAAAAGTTCAATTAAAAACAAATGCCCCTTCATGACAAAGCTTCTGTGAAATATTTTGCTGAAAACCTGGTTGCATCGCATTGCGATGTTCCTTGTTACATTTGTTTTATTATCATACCAACCTAACGCATACTACTTTAACGTTGCCATCATAATATAGATATCGAAGAAATAATGTCTATATATTTCTATCTTCACAAGAACAATGTAGCTGCTGTACATTCAGCGTTTACATTTCAAAGGAAACTTAAGACATAAAACTATAGATGACGAACACGACATGTAGTGCATTCGTTCAGTTTAATAATGTCAAATAACGATTCGCATTAGTTTTTATTTGAAAAATATCTTTTGAACTAAAATACGCTCAAAATCAACATTAAGAATAACCAATGTTGTGCTTATTTAAACAAGAGGCGATGGAAAAAGGAATAAAAAAAGCTTTTCCCGACACATAAAAGTATTTGTAACTCACGCTTAATCATCAAAGTTTAATTTAGCATTGCAAACTCGTTTTTTAAAGATGAATATTACCATTTTTCAAAAGTGTTTCTTCGGTATATGAAAAAGATTTCCGATGAAATTCGTAACGTTTTCTAGGAACTCCGTGACAGTTACCATAAAAACTCCTGACAGGTTATCATAAGAACTCCATCATTTGTTTAATGTGAACATCACTTTTCCAATCACTTTGAAACTAGATCTACGTGGCTATGATTAACGACTCTTCGCACGATAATGAGCAATTTATCATCTTGTCCGTGCTTGTAGAATGTACCAGCATTTCTCTACTGGTCAATCGGAACGTCTTCGGCTTCGGCTATTCTTCATAATCCGAAGACAGACGGAAAGGGCCGAAAGGTTGCAATTGTACTGGCATAACCGAGTTACGAAGTATCAATCTCAATGACGGTTAACTTTTCACGTTAACTATATCAATACATTAAAATACAATGCATTACACAATATGTCATATTTGTCTACAACATTTTAGTTTAAATTATAAGGTCACCAGTTTAATGTAAGAATGGGGGATAAAACATAATGATATCTATTAAAGATACGATTGATAAAAGTCAACCAATGCATACTATTGTTTTAAAACCTTTTTCGTAAAACATTTATAGTTTGATGAAGAATCTGATGAAGAATCCAAAGCATATCTTTACTTTGCCTTAACCTTTTTCTTTTATAATTACTAATTTATTTTTATTTGTTTTAAATTATGCTAATGAATTGTACAAAAAAACCCTGAAAGACAAAATCTTTTAATTTTGTGTGACATTTGTTCCTCCACATTCACGAGTCCATATATCACGCAACGTTTTCGGATCCATCAGATGGGAAGAGTACATCTGTGTGCCTTTATATATACAAGGGTCAAGAGAAACTCTTCTACGATTAAATCCACTTACATTTATGATATTTCCACGAATCTTATATAAACACAATCCTATATATACATCCTCTAAATGAAAGAATGGTGTTGTCGCTGTTATGTTATATAACTTAGCAGCTAAATGCATACTTGTGACGTATGCAGTTCCAGAGCAAAACCCTGGATATTTTTTCTCTTTATAATCGCTAACAGAAGCATACCATTTGGATTTACTATTTCTAATCGGTGCTCCGGTACTACATGAACCGGCTAAATTATTGTCCAGTAGAACACCTTTACTGTGTACTAAACTGAGTATATTCCATACATTTATATACATGTCATCATCTGTCTTCATTACATATTTAGCAACTGAGCAATGACTTACTACCCATTTATAACCCATGACAGTCTTATAAGTTAGATTAGTATACGAATCTGTAAAGTCCTCTTTAATTATATCTTGATAAATTTCGTTTTCTTTCAAAACACGATAACGGAGAGCCTTGTCACCAATTTCTCCTAAAAGAAACACATAACGAACGTTTGCAGTATTTTTCTTGGAAAGGCTAAGCCATGTTTCCCGAATTGCATTTCTTCTGTCTAAATTTTGATGGGATGTAAGAATCATTATAATCAAGTCTATAGTCTGAGTTGTGGATACTGTCTTACAAATGTTCTCATTATTTATGATATAACTGAAATTGTGTTGGAAACATCCGTTACAACTGCTTGTTCTTATTGAACCCGGTGCTGGTACCACTTTTTGTTTATTCTGTTGCACACTATATTGTAGAATAGTTTGAGATTTCTCAACATGAACACCATTGCTTGATGGTAGTGACCCATCTGACGTGTTCTGTAATGAATTATTCTTTTCTTTATCAAGTTTAATTTTAGATAATGGTTCTTTTATGTCATTAGGATTATCAGATTTAAAGGCTGACGATCTTACAGATAATTCTTTAATATTTTCACTGTAATCATCTTCCAAATGGTTGTTAACAACTTGATCAAAGTCAGTTTTTATGGCAGGGCTGAATTGAAAGAAATATGAAGTAACATTGTATTGTAGAGACGAAACGTTAACAAGCACCAACATCAATGAAATTAACACTATTACATATAAAGTTCTCCGTTTTGCCGCCATTATCACAGATAATATATTAATATTTCCTCCACTTTATCTTCAACTATAACCGAGAATTGTCTATTTCTTGTCACTTGATAAAACTTGCTTTCATAATGGTAAACGTAATCAGTCACACACCCTCAAATTTTAAAATATTACAAACAAGTTTTAAAGTCAATTCGTACAATTTAGGTGATTAACAAACTCAAATTTCCGCTGTGTAACTCGTCCCCAATATCCGGCAATGATAACATTCAAGTTTAGTTTGCTTCAATCTTATCTACAGAAATGAATACATCCAAATACAGAAATATTTTGAATAAAAGGTTCAGATAGTGATATATAATGAAATGTTGCGATATGACAGATAGTGTATTGTATGTTTTACAGATACATGGTCTTCGTAACCATATATATAAGAAAAACGTGTATTTTCCTTAAGGCGCTATGATGACCACAATAATTGTTTTGATATTATCTCAGCTGCAATAATTATATTTTACGTGTATAAATGTTAAATTTCATTAATTTCCCCGCACATGTGATGATTGTCTATATCTATCTGGTCAATCCTGAATAAAAGCTCGGAAGGAATTTGGAAGGAAAGTGTTGAACCCGAGCGTGAGTCGACGTCCAGTTTTAAAGCAGGTAAAAGTGTCTTCAGAAGCATGCTAATTTTCATGAAAATTTTGAAAATGTATAAAAAAGTAAAATATTGTAAAATGAACAAAGAATATTACTTTCACATTGGAAACATCACTTACAAACCATATTTATTACTAAAATAGGTCAACATATACAAAAATAGCCCTAACTGCGTTAGTAACGCAATAAAAATATGTTGAACAATACTGCAAATTCGGGTTTAAATCGCACATAACATGGAAATTAATACCGCTCGATGGCTTAGAGGTAAGTAAGAGAAGTTCGAATCTTTGACAATTCCTTTTTGTAGTTTCGCTAAATATATGTTTTTTTATTTCTTTTAACTAAATAAAACACAAGTTAATAAATCGTGTTTTTAATTTCTAGCATTTTTTAAATTTCATAATTTTGATAAATTTTGGAATTGTATTTCTACTTGTAAATGTAATTCTACCTTATACATAATTATACCGTTGTATCATACGTTGAATCCATATGGTTTACTTCAGAATACCAGCAAATAATTACCGGTCATCGAATATTTGCAAAGTGACTATGAAAACATATATGTTTAAGTATTGCATGAAACAATGGAAATCTACCCTAAAAGTGGTGTCTGCATAAAAAAATTCTCTTATGCGCTATTGAACAAAAATATATATTTGGAGATATGCGAAGTTGGTGGCCAAGTTGCCTGACGGTGTGAAGTTGGCGGCCTGTCGGCCCAGCGAACTGGCGGCGTGAAGTTGGCGGCCCATCGGCCTGAAAGTGTGAAGTTGGCGGCGTGGCGGCCCATCAGCCTTGTGGCGTGAAGTTGGCGGCCTAGCGGCCTTATTCTTTAATTTGTTGTAATGTTATAAAAATAATATAAACGGCAATTAATGATGTTGTAAAGACAATCCTTGTTTTTTTAAATTATTTAAAGGATATTTGAGAAAACTTTCCCATTTAATCATTTTTGTGAAGTTGGCGGCCCGGCGGCCTAGCACCCTAAAATTTTTAAAGTTAAAGAAATTAAAACGAATCTTAATTAAATTTTAAAGACATATCTTATCATCTAAAAGTTACATAAGAGAAAAAAATTACATTCATAAATTTTTGTTTTTTCAAGGGGCCTGGGAGCCGGAAATTTTACTGTCGTAGAAATTTATAAAAGAAAACAACAATAAAAACGGCATTTATTGAAACTCTTAAGACTATTCTTGATATTAAAAAGGTATATACGAAGAAAAAAAATCACCTTGAGAGATTTTTTGTTTTATCATTTTTGTGAAGTTGGCGGCTGGTGGCCCCTGCGGTCTAAAATTTTAATGTTGACTTGTATGTTTATGCCTAGCGGCCTAATCATAATGTTGTGGAAATGTCATAAAAACAAAATAACGGTATTTAATGAACTTGTTAATACATTTTTTGTAATTCTTAGTTCCTAAAAGGATGTGCAAATGGAAAAATGCCGTTGAGAAAACTTTTTTATTTCATAATTTTTGTGAAGTTGGCGGGATGGCGGCCCAGCCACCTATTCATGATAACTCTTGCTCTTTGGGTTTTTATTAGAAATTTGTTTACTATACACAACAAGAGCCGATTGAACCGGGTGATGCTCCCCGAGAAGGCTCTGGACACAGGAAAGTATAAAAAATGAACAAAGCGCAAAAACTCCAAAATTAGGCAAAGCGGAGTTATGTCTTTTTGCACTGCACTTCTTTTTATTCAATAAGATCTATCTATCTATAAAGTTTCCTGATGATATCAGAGTTATGTCCCGGGTAAAAGTCAAAGTGTAAAAATGAACAAAGGGCAATAACTCCAAAATTAGACCAGGATTTGTTTAGGTTCTTTAAGCATTGCAGTTCTATCCAATTATATCTAGCTACCTACAAAGTTTCATGTTGATATTTCTAATAGTTTTAAAATAATGTCCAGGACAAAAGTCAAAAAGTAAAAATAAACAAAGGGCAATTTCTTCAAAATAAGGCAAGGCAGAGTAATGATTCTTAAGCACTGCACTTCCATTCAATGAGACTTATCTATCTACAAAGTTTCATGTTGATATCTCTTATAATTTTAGAGTAAAATCCCAGACAAAGTTCAAAGTGTCAAAATGAACAAAGGGCAATAACTCCAAAAGTAGGCAAGACAGTGTTACAGTTCTTGTGCACTGCAAACTTACTCAATGAGATCTATCTACCTACAAAGTTTCATGTTGATATCTCTTATACATTAAGAGTTAAGTCCCGGACAAAGTTCAAAGTGTAAAAATAAACAAAGGAGGATAATTCAAAAATTAGGCAAGGCAGAGTTAAGGTTCCTATTCACTGCACACCTACTCAATGAGATCTATCTACCTACAAAGTTTTTATGTTGATACCTCTTATACTTTTAGAGTTATGTCCCGGGCAAAGTTCAAAGTGTAAAATAAACAAAGGAAGATAATCAAAAAATAAGACAAGGCACAAGGGGGTTAATCCATGCGCGCGCATCCTTAAAGTTCTGATACCGCGAACACTTCATCGGCCGGTATTTCGAAGAAAAACGAGTGGTGTGAAGAAATCAGGAAAGGTTTGAATTTAATTTGTTTTGCAAAGAAGATGTCCAAACTTCTAGTTTTTATATACAAAATGTCTTGAAGTAACTCTTTCCTGTTTTGTCAGTATTTCGCGTTGAATGCGATTTTGATTCTGGATAGTGCGTACACCCGGCGTTGAAATGTTACAGAAAATGAGCAAATATCAATTAAACTGGCCGTTTTAAACGGCTGGAAGTTATTCTGGTGTAGAATCCTTTTCAAAAATATATTTTCAACCTTCGTTCTAATTCATTTGTACTAAAAAAGTATTTAAACGCACTATTTACAGAAAACAGAGATAATGATATTGCGTACACTCTTAAAAAATCCAGATACTGCGTACACATTGATAGACAGTACATTTTATTCGAAACAGTTTATAAAATGGAAAATCTTGTATTTGTCCAAAGTTTTACGTCAATGTCAGTTCAACCTTTTAAAAGGTCTTGTGCAAAAGGTTGTTTTGTCCATTTATGAATTTATTAATCACCAAGTTACAGTAGATTTAATATATCAAAATTCAGGGAAATTTCAATAGTTTAACCTATATGGTCAAGGTCATAAAGGAGCCAAGGTCAAGTTGACTTTAACATACATGAAGGTCTTAGCCTTAAATTTGTTTGTCTTAATATGAACTCAATCCATTCATATATAACAAAGTAAAAGCTAATACAGCAAAAGGAAAATGAAAAATTATTAAAAAAATATGACCTTAAATGGTCTAAATCATTTGGGAGTGAAGGTCAAGGTCGGCCTAATTAACTTAAAGTTTGATCCTTGAAGATTGTTATGTTCAAGTTTGAAGAAATCCAATCAAAAAACAGTCATAGCCACTTATAGAAAAAACTAACCTTGAATGTCAGTCATTTATGAATGGGTCTGTATGAAGGTCTTGTCGGCCAGGTATGAAGAAAATGCACCAAAACCTTAAAAAGTTATGATCAAGGTTAAAGTTTGCGGAGGGCAACGCCGCCATGACTGAAACTTGTGACTTGAGTTTTGATATAGAATGCAAATATTTCAAATACAAACACAATCAATGAAATCCTTCAAAAGTTATGCTGCGTACTAATTGTGTACGGACGGACAACGCCATATTATTAAGTCCCGACAGTCGAAATCAGTAAAGTAAAAATGCATTTTCTTATACTCTGATACGAATAAAACAAATGTGATAAAAACGATATTAAATTATAGTCAAACAAATTTAAAAATGAATTTGAAATTGTTCACATGATAAACTTAACTTTTCATCAAATACAGTTGCTTGGAAATTTTTTCCCACAATGTTCACATGTAAATTCATTCCCTTCGTGCATTTTGGAGTGTCTGTAAAGATTGCATTTATACCTGAATGCTTTGCCACACTTTCCACATTTATAACGTTTTCTATTCTCGTGCTTATCTTTGTGATCACTAAGATCTTTATTATTAGAGAAGGCCAAGCCACATACATCACATTTGAATTCATTTGTTTGGCTCTTTTTTTATTCATGGCGATGTCTTGAACGATTTGTACATTGGCACTTGCGTTCAGAGGAATGACGCTGCATGTGTGTTTTGTTATGGTACTTCGAAAAAGCCACTTGACTACATATATCACATTTGTAGGGGCCTCGTGCCTCGTGCTGTCTGAGAGAAGATTCACTGGCAAAGAATTCACCACAAAATCGACATACATTCATTTTCTGAAATAAGATATAAATTTGACTGTAAGATGTAATTTATTTTGAAATGTATAAAAACATTATCAAGATAGACAATTGTTCACCAGGTTTTACATAAATACCTAAACAAATTGCATAAATAAATGTAAATTCTAAACATTTTCTAGGATGTAGATTTTAAATAATTCTTCAAACGGGACACCCATGCAATTCGCTTTATCATTTTATACACCGAATAAAATGTTTTTTCTATCAATTGCATAGTTATGTGTACGCAGTATCTGGATGTTTTTAGAGTGTACGCAATATCATAATCTCTGTTTTCTGTAAATAGTGCGTTTAAAAACTTTTTTAGTACAAATGAGTATGAACAAAGGTTGAAAATATATGGTTGAAAAGGATATTACAACAGAATATCTTCCAGCCGTTTAAAACGGCCAGTTTAATCGATATTTGCTCATTTTCTGTAACATTTCAA